AATACTCTATGATAATACGTAGGTATTAAAACGGTGACCATGGTCCAAAATATCATATTTTAAACCAACAGCTGACTACCGTTCTTATATATTCTGTACCAATGTGACTATCATATTTTAATATCCTGCGTTATCACAAAGAAGTGATAACTGATTACGGAGCATATGATTTTCATTATCGTGTGTATTGTATTTATTTTTTAAGTCGAAGTTACCAATTCTCTTGTTGAGTTGCAGACGTTCCGTGAACGTGTGCAATTCGTTTTACGAATTACCTAATCTGTATCTTTTTTAAGTGGCAGTCTTATTTCGACTATTTTAATAAAAATTAAAATGTTCTTTTCAATTAAGAATATATGCAACTGAAAAAAAAATCACCCCGTTTACGCATATATTAGACGCAGGATAATAAAGAAAAAGAAATTAGGATTTTTTATTTTAAGTTCTATTGTAAATATTATAAAAATAGTTTCGACTTTTTACACTTTTTTTAGTTAATGTTGAAAAGAATTAAAATGGCTGCCGATACTCTGCGAGTTTTAAGGTAAGATATTAATAATTTTATAAATCTAAATCGTGTTATTTAGGTACCTGCTTGAGTATCTTATAATTATTCTGTTTAGAAAAAGACCATTAGAAGAATATGATGATGATTATAAACCTTTGTCAAAACGAATGMACAGCATGTATTTGAAAGATGGCCCACTTGCCGGTGAAAACCATTCAGCAGTCACAAATGCCTATGGTGTAAGTATTTTTTATTGTTATTTGAATGTTCTAAAATACAAATCAATATCTGTTTATGGAATAATGATAAACTTTTTACAAATTTTCATTATTTATTGATCATTTGATGTTTCATAATAAAATTTTATATTAGATGCTTTTTAACTAATACTTGATTTCAACCGTTATTTAAGTTTTTACAAAAAATATTTCAAGGTTAATGTTTTAAAATGGATCTTAACCATCAGTATTATATGAATTTTTAGTTTCTACTTGAATGTTTACTTTACCGTTAATTATTAACTATAGCATTTTTTATATGTGCATAAT